TCCCTAATCTTTTCCCCCCCCTCCTCTCTTTTTTCATTCCCGCTCGGGTTTCCCCCATCCCAAACCCAAAATCCCCAATCTCAAAATCCCTAATCTTTCTTACGTCTCTCTCTCTCTCCGTCTCAATTTGTTTCAGATGCTGATTTGGATGATTCACGGTCGAGAAGGAAGAGGGAGAGCAGGAGTTCTAGGCGTAGAAGTAGGAAATCGGAATCAGTCGGTGATAGTGAATCGGATGAGTTGAATCAGGATGCTGATGCCTGATCTTCATGTATGTTCACTGCTTTCCTTTCATTGTTTGTTTCTTTTGTATTTTTTGTCATTTGGATGTAGGAGGAATATCAATATGCTTCTATGTTTGATAAAGTTGAGCTTATTACATGCATAAATTTGTTTTTAGGGTTGTTTGATTTGTTAACTTTTCATCTTTGATTATTTTGCTCCGTCCATTTTGTGTTTTAGTATGTGAAATAGTTTTGTTTTTTGTTTTTCTAGGCAGAACAATTCAGATGGAAAACGAATGAAATTATCCAGATCAAGAGTTGAAAATGGTGGCTCAAACTCAAAGTAAAAAATGGAATCAAATTCAGGACAAGTAAACATGGCAGCTGAGAAGCATACAAAGCCAAGTGAGCAGCCTAATAAGCAAGATTATATCCATGTGAGAGCAAGAAGAGGTCAAGCTACTGATAGCCACAGTTTAGCAGAGAGTAATTTCTCTTCAGAGTTGTTGGAATTGCCATTTATCATTTGTTGAATTTATTTGTAGATTTCTGTTTGCATATTGAAACTTGTTGTTTGTCAAGCTAGGAGAGAAAAGATCAGTGAGAGGATGAAGATTTTGCAAGACTTGGTTCCTGGATGTAATAAGGTAATCAAAATCATTTGTCTATTTTCATTAAATAAAATTGGCACAAAAAATAATATTTTAGTCATGAAACTCAATAATGTAGGTGTATAAAAAAATGTCTAAAATACTCATTTTCATTGAATTTAATGACTAATGTACACTTTTCTAACAATTTTACTTAACAAAAATAAATAAATAGTTTAGATTGAAAATAAATCAAAATATTGAGGTTTGAATTGATAAGATTAAAAATTCAGAATTTATTTTGTTAAAAGGCTTAAATCTTAAGGGTTTTTTTTGTAATGATCCTAACTTTTTTTTTAAAAAAAAAAAAATTAAAAACTTTTCATATTCAAGCCTCACTAGACTAGACAGATCTAAAAACTAATATATATATATATATATATTGGGAAAAAAATCCACTAAAAAAAATTAAAAAGCTAGGGGTTTTTTTTTTTATTTAAAAAAAAATCCACTGAAAATTTACTTTTTAGATTCCTTTAAATTAGACAGACTTGAAATAAAATAAAATAAAAAAGTTTGAAAGTAAAAATTAGAACTTTTTATAACAAAGATACTCCCCAATTTGACTATTCCTCTCATAGCTTCTAAGTCACTTCTCTTCTTTGCAGGTTCCTCATGTTACTCGTACTGATTATCAACTGATTGATATTTCTGAAGATGGTTTTGTAAGTAATTTCGTGTGAACATCTTGAATATTTCTAAATCCAATGGATCTCACTGGATTAATTATTGGTAGATAAAAAATGCCATGTAATTTAATTGGGTTGCTATAGACATTTGGAAATTTAGACTTGTTATTATTCTATTGACAAGAGATGATGTTGACAGCAATATTTTGTGTTTGTAATTTTGGCCATGGGTAATTTCAGCTGTTTTATTAGTGCTTTGTGTCCAGCCAAGAACTATCCATGTCTCTTTGTTAGAAATGTGTAAGATTTTATGTTATTATTCAGAACTTAATAAGTTTGGATGTAGTAACTTCCATTTTCAGATCCAGCTTTAGGCTTTTTGCCTGTTAGGGGTTGCCACAATTTTTGAATTGTAAACCAAATAAACTTTGATCTGCAGGTGAGTCTTTTGACTGAGAATGGTAACACCAAGGATGACTTGAAGCTTCCCACCGATGAAAGTCTGCTCAGATAGGTACACAAATGTTCTGCATTCTTCAAAATGCAACCTGTGCACTCTAAATATATTTTGAAATATTAGTAAGATGAATACATTGTATTTCAATATTGTTTTGCATAATTTAGAAGCATTGTTACGTCAATGATATCTTGATTTTTAAGTTATTGAATAAATGACTTTTTAATTTTAATTGCTCCAGTGTTATCTCATTTTTTGTTCATTATCTTTGAATAAACTATTTTTATATTTGGCACACAACAAAATTAAAAAATAAAATAAAAATAAAATATGTGTCCCAGGCATATTGTGATTTGTATTTTTTAAAAATCACTGAGTCGGTATGTTTGTGTCATGTACGGATTGTGTCATTCGTCTTTGTCTTTGTGCATTGAAAATTTAATGCTGCCCTTCAATAGTCCACAATTAATATTATGTTCTTTACTTTATATTTATTTGTCTGTGCTTTGTGTGTTCAGATTAAAGATGGGTTTGCTAAAGGGAAAGACCTTATTGTATCAGTTATGTGTGCTATGGGGGAAGAACAGATCAATGCCCTCAAGGACATTGGCCCAAAGAACTAAAATTCTTAGGGTCTCTTGTATAATGTCTACGCACATAATATTTATATAAATGATCTAATAATTGGATTAAAACCACCCTAAAATTCAGAGACTCTTTTCACTTAATTCGTTTGTTACTCATCAAATAATGCTTTGGATTTACTAACACCCACGAAATTACAATCGATTGTCTATCTGATCCCTAGATTTGCTTCTATTCCAAGGTAAACAAAGCCTCTAATTTTTGAAATCCGATTCACAAGCACTCTGTTTTCTTGACTTTTTTGTTTTTTTGATTACTGTTTGTTTAGTGTTAGATCGGATGGCTGAAGGGGGAGTTCAATCTCGTTATGTGAAGCTGACCAAAGATCAAGGGCCTTCGGAGGATATTAAGCCTGAAGAAAAACATTTAATTTTGATTTATGTTATTTTGAATTATGAACAAAATCATGTATTTAAATATTATATATGTATTATGAAACATTATATAGTGGGATAATTTTGTTGATGTGTAATTATGAATGGAAGAATGTTTTATTATGAAGAAATTGTTATTTTTATACTGAAATTTTTATATTATTATGTAATTATTATGGAGAAATTTTAATATTTTTAATAATTTTATCGGAGGATTTTTTTTCTTTTTTGTGACGGCACTACACCGTTGCAAAAAACAGAAAATTTTATTATTTTTATTGATTTTGTTACAGGTTTTACTTTTTGTGACGACACTAAATTGTCGCAAAAAATAGAAATTTTATTATTTTTTAATACTTTTTGCGACAGTAGTACATTGTCACAAAAAAATAAAATTTTTTATATTTGTAATACTTTTTGCGACGGCACCACACCGTCGCAAAAACAGTGTTCTTGCCGTTGCAAATAAAAAGACTATTAGTGACAGCATTTTTTGCCGTCTCAAATAACATTTTTAGCGACGGTAAAATAGTGCCGTCGCAAAAAGTCAAGAAATTTCAAACACTATTAGCGACTGCAAAGTGCTGTCGCAAAAAGGCAAAAATGCCGTCGCAAAACATTAGCGACGGCACTGTGTCGTCGCTAAAACTCTTTTGCAACCCCCGCATTTGTGACCCCCTCTTGCCGTCGCAAAAAGTCATTTTGCCGTCGCAAAAAGTTTTTGCGACGGCATTAAGAGTATTAGCGACGGTATTTTACCGTCGCAAAAAGTCAATTTTTTTGTAGTGTCCACACCCTCTCTCTACTCTCTTTATGTTTTCCTTTTGGCGTCTTTTGAAAATTTCATTCGGATGTGTCTAATTAATAACAGGAGCCTAATAATTATATGATTTTAAAAAAAAAATTAAAAAAAAATTGATAAAAAAAAATGACAAAATCTCTTTGAATGGACACAATCACATCTCAGGAGACATCATCATACATATTTTTGTCATTACCTCGATATCTCCTTGAGATCATTTTGATGCGTGGCTTGAACCATGTTGAAGTTAAGCTTTGCTAACTTGAGCAAAACTGAGTTTGTGTTGTCATTGTTTCAAGCTCATGGATATGACTCTTGACATCATACCACTGTACTCTCCACTGCAATGGAAGCTCCAAAGCATGGCTCAATTGTTTGGTAACTTTGTTCTCTACATTTTTTGAATTGGTGATATTCTTCAGAATCCCAGTAGAGAATGCTTTAGCTTCAATCAGTATGTTTTCACCCTCTAACTTTCTACTCATCACTTAGGAAATATGAATTTCTATTTTGCATACCTTTTTATCTTTCAGACGTCAATGGACTTCAAATATGCTGCAGCAGCAAAAGATGACGCAAAAATTTCTTCCTGAAACATTCGATTGTTAATAGATTATATTGATGCATACTGTCTGAGAATTTAGAAAGCAAGAACCTTGAACTAACCTCACCGACTTTAAGACCAAGTGTTTCAAACTTTTTCCTATACTGTTTCCTAGGGTTGTAGGTAACAAAGACTACTCTCTAAGTTGGTTTCATAAGTTTTTTCTAAGTTTTCTATTTGTTACACTCAACTAACATGGTGAATAGAGGAGGTTGGATTCCAATACTAAACAGGAGAGGGCGACAAGCAAATCAAGTTGGGTCCAAGGAAGGAAGACGTGAACAGATGTATACTCTGTTTGTAGACAACTTACCAGAATCCATGGAACCAAGAAGAATGTTCGACTTGTTCAGAAAATTTGGAGTGGTTAAGGATGTTTTTATTCCACAGAAGAGGAGGAAAACAACAAACACAAGGTTTGGATTTGTTCGGTTCGATTGCCATGTTGCAGCTAGTGTAGCAGAACAAAAGACAAACGGATTATGGGTTGATGATAAAGCCTTGGTAGTTCAGAGTGCAGCCTATGGGAAAGGTAACGATGACAAGAGGAGGTTCAAACAAGTGCAATGGAGACAAACGGAGCCAAGAAGGCCACCAGGCACAAATGCATCTAGAAGCTGGAATCAAGTCTTAGATGGCAGATCATATGTAGAGGTCACCAAAGGAGCTCAACCAAAAGGTCATTCAACTCCCACAATCAGAGTCGAAGAAATAGGAAATGACTGGTTGTACGAGAGCTTGATTATGAGACTCAAATCTGGGTACTCTGTTGTAGAAGTTAAAGCGGAACTAAAAGTGAAAGGAGTGAAGGATGTCCTGGTGAGAGAATGAGGTGGTCGCAATATAATAATTTCTTTCAGATCTAGAGAGGCCTTGAGAAATATGATAGGCTTGATTAAGGAATGGTTCCATGCCTGGTGTGTATACATCACGGACTGGGAACCTGGTATGCAACTTCAGCCGGAAAGATATGCTTCAATTAGCTGTTTTGGTGTTCCGTTGAATTTATGGAATTCGGGTACGTACAGAAAGATTGGCCAACTATGGGGGGAAGTGATTCATTTAGATACAGACCTCTATAGTCCATCCTCTTTTCGTTATGGAAAGGTAAAGATAGTCACAAATGTAATGGAACCGATAAATACCAGTCTAAATCTAGAGTGCAGAGGCAGATCATACCCGATAAGAGTCTGTGAGGACCAGCCTAGTAAGGAGGCTTCGACCAGCTGTAAAGGTAATAACACTGAGGAGGGAGATGAGGACGTTAATTCTAACATTAATGGGGTTTTACAGTCAGTTGCAAATAGCAAGAGGGAGATAGACGATGCTGATAAGGAAGCTGAGTTGGAGGATGATATGGCAAGTAAGAACGAGAAGGCCAAAGATGTTTCAACCCCTAGGCTGAAGGAAAGGAGTGAGATAGGGGTAGGTGATAGTTGCTTGCAGCTTTCAGTGGTGAAAGAGACAGAAGAGTGTATGGGGAATTCAAATGAAACAGACTCTGGCATGGGCGATACAATGATGAAAGAGGAAAGTGTGCAGCAGCAGCAATTGCAGAAGTGTAATCATGAGTTAGGAAAGGTTGATGAGTTTCAAAAAGACAAAGAGCTGGTCTCTAGTCAAGGCTTCGTTAGAAGTGTGACTGAAACCCAAAAAGGTAGACCTGGTGTCTGTTTGGAGGTGGATTTGGGCCCTGATCAAAATAGACCCCAGCCCAATGAGTGTGCCCAATACAAAACTCAAGGGAATGGGCTCAGTCACCCGTTGGTAAGTTCTGAAGGTGGCCACTCAAGGGTGGGTTGCAAATCCTTAAGGGTGGGCTGCAAATCCAAAAGCATGGATTCTATTAGTGTCTCTAGTGGTGGTTCCACTAATAACCTGATCAAGCAAGGCCCAAGGAAAGAAATCAGGCAAGGTAGATGTAAATATCCACTGGCTGTAGGAGGTTTCAATGGACTGGCCAGAAGAGTTGGGCAGAGAAGTGTGGATGCAGGAAGAAGCAGGGCTCAACAGTCAGCCACGGTGACAGCAGCAGTGCAGAGGCCGTGTGTAGATGAGAGTCACAATAACAGTGAATCAGATAAAATTCTCGAAGCTCAAGCCACGTTACGTCTGGGGAAAAGGCTGGGGATTGATTTCAAAGGGCAGGATGCAGAAATTTTGAAGAAACTAGTACACCTAGAGGAGAAGGATAAAGAGAGGCTAGGAGGGAGGTCCGAGAGGAGGGGGGACTGATGCTTCCATGTAATCAGTAATGCTTGGGGGATGATACAGCTGGAAATTGTTTATGATGAAGCTTTTAAGTTGGAACATTAGAGGGATGGGTAGACCAGAAAAGAGGAGAAAAATCAAGAACCTGTTATTTGACAGAAATATTGATATGGCTTTGATTCAAGAAACAAAAAGGTCAAGTTTGTCCAACCCGGTGATTAGAAGTTTGTGGCCAAGGGAAAAGATGGAATCCATGGTTGTGGATGCAATGGGTGTGGCAGGTGGACTATTATGCATATGGGATCCTGATATATTTCAACTTTCCGAGTGCTGTAGCAGTCGAAATTTTATTCTGCTCTCAGGTACCATTCTGCACTCCTTCAACTGTGTTGTCATTAATGTATATGCTCCAAATGATGTTATGAAGAGAGGGAAAGTATGAGAGTCCCTTTTAAATTTGAAGACCTGTTTTCCAAAACCATGGTGTCTTGGGGGTGATTTCAATGAGATCACAAGTCTGAGGGAGATAATAGGTAATTCAAGGAGAGACAGAGGTATGAAGGAGTTTAAAGAATTCATAGATAGTTGTGAGGTGGCTGATATGCAAATGCTAGGGAGAAAATTTACTTGGTGTAATGCCCAAGATGGAAACAAATGGAGTAGAATAGACAGATTTCTCCTTAGCCCTGAGTGGTTGGAGAGATACAAATTCAAACTGTGGGGGCTGCCAAGGTTGGTCTCAGATCACTGCCCCATAGTACTCAAGAAGATGAGAGGGATTGGGGCCCCACATCCTTTAAATTCTTGAATGCTTGGTTCCTACGTCAAAATTTTGCATCTTTTGTGGAGAATGCATGGAAGGATCTTCAGTTTCAAGGGGATGTGGGTTACATTTTGCATAGTA